CGTCTAGGGGTGGAGGGCCAGCGGGTGTGGTCGAGGGTGCGTGTAGGCTGTCGTCGTAGTAGCTGCGGCCGGGTGTTGACGGTGGTCCACGAAACATTGCTCTCTAGTCGCAAGTTTACCTGGGTACGCGGTGGAACAGGCGAACAGGGATCCAAAACCAAGGTATTTTCTCCACTTAATTTCCCAGTTCACACGTTGCGCCGTACATGCGCCGTAATGAATTATTTCGCGTGGTGAAGGGATTTGATTGTTCTTGGTCTAGCTACTGTCGCGGTCGCAAAACATAAACTCTGGACCAGCTCCAGCGACGCGCTCGGCTTGGCGCGTCCGCGGGCCGGCGTCCGGCGAAACCTTCCCCCGGCTTCACAAAGTGCGCGCGCCGTGCAAGAGCGGCACCTGCGTCCATGGATGTCTTGCTCGCAGCTTGCTTTTAGATTGCAGACCCGCCCGGCTATCTAGACTCGACGACACGTGCGCATGATTCACGACGCATGCCTAGTTCCTCCCGCTTGTCTTGACTTTTGGTTTTTTCTGCTCGTTCCTGGTGGCGGCGCCATGAAAGCGTGCCTTCACAACGAATCAGGCGACGTGCATACCCCGAGATGGTGTGGCTGCCACCCGTGTTCAACCCCGCTACGGGCTGTTTCTGGTAAATCAATATCCCATCACCGTCACTAAGTCTTTTGTCGAGTCGTGGAGCGCAGGGGTCAAATCACTTGGTAATGCCTAGGGTTCCTTATTAAGGTACCCGATGCTAGACTGCGCCGTCGCCAGCCTCCGCCAGCATTAGCCTACAGCTGACGTACCGTGCGACTCAAAAACGGTTGGAGCCCGCTGGTCGACCACACCCGCTGCTTCCGTCGCCTGACCCTACTCTTTGCCTTTTCTCGTGCGCGTTGTCCTACTTGAATGCTTCTCATCTCTAATGTGTAATGCTGCTTGCTGCGCACTCATACCCCTCGGCCCACCTCTGACGTAGTGCTGCTCGTCGATAGCCCGCCGTCATGGCGCTCTGGTCCACCGCGAAGACGCAGTCAAAGCAAGGTTTCGACAAGGTCTACACGTGGGTTGACAAGCTCGGTGCCCCCGTCAATCGACTGTCCAACAAGGTCGGCTCTGAAGCCTTCTGGCCTACAACGCTAGACATCGAGTCGGACAAGGCTGCGAGGATCCTCAAAAGCTTCTGCAGTACGTCAACTTCCGATGCATCCCGCCAAGTACTAACACGTCCGCAGAGGATGGTTTTTACCAGGAAGAAGACCGACCCGTCACCACCGACGTCCCCAAGGGAAAACAACGAGTCCTCAAGAAGATACCCTCCAAGGTCATCCAGAATGCCAAAGGCCTATGCATATTCACGACCATGCGGTCCGGCCTTTGGGTCTCCGGATCTGGCGGAGCCGGCATATTGGTCGCACGCAAGGCCGATGGAACATGGTCACCCCCGTCAGGCATCATGATGCACACCGTGGGTGTAGGCTTTCTCGTAGGCGTAGACATTTACGACTGCGTGATTGTCATCAACTCCGACAAGGCCATGGAGGCATTCCAGTCCATCCGCTGCACATTGGGAGGTGAAATCAGTGCAGTCGCAGGTCCAGCCGGTGTTGGCGGCATACTGGATTCGGAGATCCACAAGCGCCAGTCACCACTATTCACGTATATCAAATCGCGAGGATTCTATGCTGGCCTCCAATTAGACGGAACTATCATCATCGAGCGAACAGACGAGAACGAACGGTTTTACGGCGAACGCATAGGAGTCAAAGACATTTTGGCAGGCAAAGTGAGGCACCCGCCTTACGAGATAAGGAGACTCATGGAGACTCTGAAATCGGCTCAAGGCGATACGGACGTGGACGAGACTTTGATACCAGACGAGGCGCCGCCTGCCGACTTTGAGATTACAGGTCCGGAAGACAAGACATTTGGTATTCCAGACGCTGTTGACCCCGACCCGTATGGCGTACTGGCATTACAAGAAGCTGGTCTAGAGATCAGGGAAGCAGGCACACACAGCCGTCCGGCAAGTGAACAATTCGAGTTCAAGCCGAGCCCCACAAGCCCCATCTACAACACTTTCAGAAATTCTACATTCCGGAGAAGCATGGACCGTTCGAGCTATGCTGGCAGTCGGCCAACGAGTTGGCGCACAAGCACCATCAGCGGCGTATTGGAACCCCGGACGCCAACAGTTGACATGAGCACCCAGACCGACGATCTACCGCCACCACCTCCGACCATCAGGAAGTCGCCCCCCACGCTGCCGCCAAGAACAAGCGTCGCACGCACACCTACTCCTCCCATAGTGGAAGTACCCGAAACCAGGGTCGAGCAAGCTACTCCGCCACGAGCAAGGAGTGTAGACAGACAGGCCGAAGAAGCAACACCTAACGCTGCAGGAACAAAGACAGACAAAGCTGCCGGCCCAAAGTCCGACGGCTCTCCTCGGAACTCCATAGCCACTGAAGAGGCTCATGATTCCGAGTCAAGTTCCGATTCGGAATCAGACGAAGAGGAGGAGGAAGATGAGTTTGAGGAAGAGCCAATCGTCCACGAGGTCCACCAGGCCGCTGCCCCACAAGCCATTCGCGCACGCGTCGTCCAAGTTGCCAAGCCAATGCCGCCTGCTCTACCGGTCAGAAATCCATTCCGCAACCGCGTCTCAACGAACTCAGACGGGTCCCTGAACTCTCCAACCGTACCGAAGCATAGCCCGGAATCAACCCCCTCGCTTATGCGCGGTGATTCAACTTCTTCTCTGTCCTCCGTAGAAGACAACAGACTCGAGCAGATTGGCAACAGGCTCAAGCCCAAGTATTCTCACGAGCCCTCACCTGATGACGAGAAGAAGGAGGACAAGGACGACACCTTCCACTCGCTTCCAGAGTCCCCGATGAAGAGCATTCCAGGAGGTTTCAACTGAGCGACCGAAGTCTAACATCCAATCGACTTCCACATCTCTCTACACCGCTCTTTCGCTGCACATATAGAACGGGGATGACCATCTCATCCTAGACTACACCCTCACAGATTACGCTTACAAAATGGCGTTGCGACCCCAAGCGCATGATTACTGCGTCTTGCCACTTGCTTATTCGGCTTGGCCAAAACGCAACCATGCCCGGTCGATCACCACACCCTGATAGGAGACAGCCTTTCACCGTCGTTACGAATTATGATTCCCATTGATATCCACTTTGTTGCTTTACTTGCCCTGCTCACGCATGGCTCGCCATAGCATCTGCATGTATCTAGTGCCATTTCAAAACTGCAATTCGTTTGCTTGCATACCGATAGTCCCCATATACGAATATTATGTCTAATTCGAATCAGCACATGTCTGGCATTGTTCAAGCGTGATAGACAACAAATTCATGGCTCATCTGGAAGGCAGTGAGAGCGTGGGCGGCCGGCTGCGCTAACGCGGCCGTGACACCCCTGCCAAAATTTCGTGAACGGAATTCCACCACGAGCTCGACTTGCGCGGACACACAAACCTCCACACCAGCATTTGCACCCTCAAGTACTGAGTCGGCGCGCTTCTTACATATTGCGCCCGAAGCGATCTGTAAAAAGTCTCACACCAAGTCCTCTCGAAGGCCGACCGAAACTCCTTCCAACCACACAGCGCCGCCCGTCGCAACCCACACCCGCAATGGCACCCGAAGCGCCGCCAAAGACGAAGAAGTCTAAAGCAACACCGAAAACAGTCGCCGACTTCACCGTCCTTCCCCTCACATTACCCACACTGTCTGGTCTGCCAGCGCACTGCAACGATGCAAAGCATTACATCTACGTCAAACCACATGCGCCCAGCATACCCACCGCCGATGACGAGCGCAGCCTCTTCGTCGCAAACATACCCATCGATGCCTCCGAGCGCAACATCCGCGCGCTGTTCCAAGAACAATTAGGCGGCTCCATGGTCGAGCGCGTCGAGTTCGATGCCTCGGTCCCCGCGCAACCAATGCACAAGCGCTGGAAGAGCGACAAGCCTACCACGCAAGACGACTCAGCTACCTCGAGAGGCAAGAAGAGGAAGAGGACCGACGACGCGGCTGTGATAGCAGAGGGTGTGGTGGAAGACGCCGAGAGCGCGCTACCACGATTATGGAACAGCGAAGTGCGTAAGAGCGGGAGCGGCGCCGTCGTTGTCTTCGTAGACAAGAAGAGCGCGAGAGGTGCTCTGAAGGAGATCCAAAAGGCCGTAAAAGAAGGCAGAGACATATCATGGAAGGGAGGAGAAGGACTAGGCGTTGAGCGTAAGTCTCCACAATCCCCTCACACTCATTCCACGTCTAACCCAAGAACAACAGGCTACAAATCCCACAACTCCCTCATCTACCCCACCCCCACCCTCCTCCAAGCCTCGCTAAACGCCTACCTCACCCAATTCAACGCCCTCGAGACAGCGCGGAACCGCATTCGCAAGACGTCCCGGTCTGTTCCTGACGAGGAAGGCTTCATGACGGTTACAAGAGGCGGTCGCGTTGGGCCGGCTAGGCTGGAAGAGGCGGAGAAGAAGAAGGCTGAGTTGGATGAGCGGAAGAGGAATCATAGGGCTACGGATGACTTTTATAGGTTCCAGAATAGGGAGAGGAGGAAGGAGGCTGAGGGGTTGTTGAAGAGGAAGTTTGAGGAGGATAGGCGGAGGGTGGAGGGTATGAGGGAGAGGAGGGGGAGGGTTAGGCCGGAGACGTGAGGGCTGAATGTGTGGTGGGCGTCTGGTGAAGACCTTCCTTCGGGGAAGTTGCTGTATATGAATATATGGGTTGCGGATGTATGCAGTTTGTGCCACCCGATGAAGTTCCTACTGGACTGTTCTCTTCAAATCACGACTCACTCGGCATGGCACAAATGTGAAATAGATGAAATCAATACATTGATTCATGGTCATAAACTAGCACTCGTAAAACTCAACACAACAAAGAAAATAGGAACCCAATCTCGAATCTTTCCTTGAAGAGAGAGAGACGAGTGTGCGCAAAACCACCGACCTAAGTCATCCCATTCCCGTTCCCATATGCATTCCCATTCGCAATTCCACCACTCATCTCTTCATCTTCCCCTCCACCTGGGTTCTGTCCAGGTAGTGTTTTCGTCTGAAAACACGCTTTGTTGAGCCGACGACTCCCAGTCTTACTCCCACTCCTGCGAAACTGGCACATGGAAATCGATTTCGACCCTTGAGTTTGGTCGCCTTCTATCCCATTCACGACACTGTCGCCTTGCTTGTGTGATGATTGGCATTCGCGCAGAGGAATTGCCAATGGAAGTGCGTGATGCGGCTCGGTGTTTGCAGAAAAGCAGACATGTTTGGCACCGCAGGTCCGGTCTTTCCGATTGTCCAGATAGTCGTCGTCGAGGCCGTTCAGCATTAGCTGGACTGCATTGCTGCTCTTGCTATTCCCATTTGCGGCAGCGATTGGCGTAGACAGTATACCTTGGTCAAATTCCGTATGCACCTTCTCCCAGACTAGTGCTGAGAGACCGCGGGGGAAGGTTTCAGAAGCCTTGAGCGTGTTGCACTCCCAGTACAACTGTTCACCCAAGTGGAGGAAGCGTCGACTGAGTAGGCGGTCTTGTAGTGCCCATGCACGTGTATCCCAGCCGAAGTTGGGTGTAGTCAGAATGCCAGCTGGAAGCAAGGCAGAAGCCGGCTGTCGACCTGGAGTCGGGCTTGGGCTGTTTGCTGATCCAAGTAAGGACGCCGGGTAGTTCTTTTCAGGTATGCCCGACATGACCACTTCGCCGGTCAACTGGTCAAGTACGACTGTCAGTGCTGCGTTACGGAAGGTCGACGCCATCCTCGTGCACTCTTGTTCCTTGTCTTCTTCCGAATCTTGAAGCACACATAGTGAATCTAGCCAGCAATACTTGTGGCCCAGGCGATGTGCTGTCGCAATCGCATTCGCGACTGTCATCGGGAGTGTTCCTAGAGGCAGCTCACTTCGCATGCTCAACAGCGTGCTGCTGGAGAGTACTGGCTGGTTGTCGCCCCATACGTAGCTCAAGGCAACATATTCGGTAGACGACTTCAGGCTGTCGGTCTGAACAATTCTCGCGCGAATTGCATCGCCCGGACTTCCCGGAAGAATCTCGATCAGACGTGTGGGTAGGTTGCTGGCATCGCGCTCTGCTGTATGGTGACAAGCTTCGTGAGTGTGTGTACACTCGTCTAGCCAGCTCTTCGCGTTCAAAAGGCTAGGCTCTGACTCGGTGCTGTTCTTGCCGTGAGCGTGGGAATGGCAGCAGGTTTCGTCGCCGCCTTGGTGAGCAAGCGTCTCTACTCCACCAAGTTCCTCTTGTGGACCAGGGTATGTCGCCTTGTCGTTCGGCCAGTTGAGACAGCATGGTGCGGGAGTAAAGATCATGGTCAATGATCGTGCGTCCGGCCGCTCATCTGGATCGGCACTCAGCATGGTCTGAAGCGTACGCACAACGGTCTGCTCCGTCGTAGTATTTGCCTCAGTCAGGAATGCGGCAAGCTTGTCTTGTATACCGGAGACGTCCTGCCAGTAGTGCTTGCCAGTACGACCGCTGAATGTCTTGCGGAAAGCTAACCATCCCGTGTTGCATTGGCTGAACGATACAGACGCCATCTCGGCGAAGACACAACCAAGACTCCATATGTCAGCTGCCTGCTTGCGAGTAAAGCCCTCAAAGACTTCAGGGGCGATGTATTGACGTGTTAGCGGCTTGCGCTGGTCGTCGCCCACTTCTTCTGCGGAGCTGACACCAAAGTCGCTGAGCACGACGTGTGGGAATTCCTGATCGCCTTCTACGATCAAGATGTTCTGAGGCTTGATATCCATATGCTTGACAACAGGTCGCTGCTCGTGGAGATACCTCACTGACGAGGCAAGACAGCCAAACATCTTGGTAATAGTCTCTGGCAGGTTGGCAGGCTTCTGTAGCGCTGTTCGCTGCAGCCATCCTGCAAGTGTTGTCTCCGCGACGGGTGAGAGGAGGATCGACATCTTGTCGCCTCTGGAATAGGCCCCAAGGAATCGAATGATGTGAGGGTGGCGAAGCTTCTGAAGAACGCTGACTTCCTTCTTGAGCTCCGCAATCGCGTTCTGGTCACGGTTCTTGAGTGTCTTGCGACCGACGTGGAGTCCCGTTTGCTGATGTACGACTTCGTCGACCGTACTAAAGCCACCGGAGCCCAGAAGCTTGACACTTAGGAATGACGTCGTTGATGGACGTATTTCTGTCCTAGATAGTGTCACAGCCGTACTGTCTTGAGTTGAAATGATTGGCTTCGTATCCAATGATGCGTCCGAATGCTGAATATCTGGATACTCTGGGCTGGAGAGAGGTGCAGAAGATGACCCTGGAGCAGCAGCGGCTACATCAGCCCTGGAATACTTCCAGTGAGGGTGTTCTGATAGTCGAGCATCCGTTCTACTGCCTGAGGATGAGTTCAGGAGTACACTCCTCACGGACTGGGAGAGCACATCGCCGGCCAGAGCATTCTTGTGTTCTTCCTCTGTCGCAATGTGGCTGACTTGCAGTAGTTGCTGGTCACTTGAGACGCCGAGCGATGCTGTTGCATCCCTCTCAGGTGAGATCGATGACTGAGAGATGTTCGGCGAAAGTGTAGTGGGTTTGATAAGTTGGTCCGCACAATACAACTGGCTCTCACCGAGTTGTGAGAGCTGGAATTGGAAGAATCCGCCGCTTGATGACTGGCCTGCAGAGCCGCCGCTGCCGCCCGAGCCAGTGTGTTTGGAGCCACCGTCACCCTGTGGATGGAAAGGCGGTTGAGGGGAAGGCTTGCCACCGAAGCCGCCATCGCCTGGCCCGTCGTCATTGTCGTCGTCTGCGGAATCGAGGCTGTCGTTGTCTTCCTCGTCGCGCCAGTCAAGCATAGATTTGCCTTGCTTGAAGTGATCCGCAATGTGATCTATTCGTTCTTGTCTCGTCTCGAAGCGATGTCGGCAAAATCCACACTTGCGTGGGAATTCGGTCTCGGAGTACACGGTGCTGGCCTCGTCGAAGTCCTCCGCATTCATCTCGGGGTGGATATTGCGGAAATGCTGGACAAAGTGGTACTTTCTGAAGCACGGTCGAACGTTATCGACACCCCCGACTGTACACAGGCTGCAGACCCATGATTTGCATGGGTAACCTTCTTCCTCATTCCGCTTCCAGTCATTCTTACGGCCATACCGCTTGCCGCATTTCCGAGTGCACTGGTAAATTTTTCTGGGATCCCTACCGAGCAACTCCAGGTCTTCGGTAGGTGTGCACCGTTTCTTACCCCGTGTGGTGACTGGCTGTATGGTGACGGTAGTATTGTCGCAATTTGGTGACGAGCCGGGGGTGACCGTCTCTCCAAGTGCTTGTTGTATCGTGTTCCCATAAGCAGTGTATGCCCCCGAAAGCTCTGTTTGGTACGACTGATCATCCCAAAAGAGTTCTGGCTGCTTCTGCTGCCGGTCTTGTTGGATGAGTGCCGTTTGGGACTTGTAGGCCGAATCGCTCTGGTTGCCACCCATGCCCTGCTTCAAGAGCTGACCAAACCAGCTTCGGATGGCATCTGCAGGCTCACCGGTGAGCTGGCTTAGTGAGTCGATGTGCCTATCGCTTTTGAATTGTTAGCATTGATGAACACTACTCTGGTCTTACAAACACGTATGCGCTACATGATATCGAAGCTGAGGAGGAAGTCGCCAGCCAGGGGGGTACATGAGTGTGTATGACTCGGAGATGACCACGAAACACAGCTCCGTGCACCCCATAGATGTATAGACAGACTCCCCTCTCGCCGTGGTATCCGTCTGGCTGAACAATCTTTGTCGGAGGGTCATGAGCTTACCTGGGCAGCACATTGTATTTATGGAACCACGTTGCGCAGACATCGGCTGCCTCATCTGGAAGACCTTCTACGGCCACGGGCGGGGTCGCCTCCAGACCCCAGCTGGATGTCGTTGTTGCAGGAGGTGTTGGGAATAATGGGAAATCAAAGCTTGCGTGACGCTTAGATTGAGGGTAGTCCTGCGTCTCAAGCTGCAGCGGCCGCTTGCCAAGCACATTAAACTGCGTAGGCATGGCATCAAATGAGTGAAGTGGTGTAGGTGGGTATGCCTTCGCGGTATGTTGGAGCTGCATATCAGGTGTGAGCTGTGCCATCCACGCTGGGGTCGCCGAGGTGTCATCCAAGGTCTGCCGCATGGTTAGCAAGTATGCGATATGGCGAAATGAACAATCAGCTTACCAGACTCTGTTGCATTGTGCACTGCTGAGGGTTGGTTTCGAATACAGCCGGATCAATGAAAGATGATGATGCAGAAGTATCGATACCCTCGTCAGCGAAGAAGAAGCCAGAAGTGTTATCCGCTGGCGTGTACGACTGCTGCTGCTGCGGCGTCGCAAACATGTTGCTGAAATCCATGTTGGTGTCAAAGGCGAAACCTGCGCCCTGATGGTCCATGACTATGTGTGGTGTATTTGTCAGAGGGCGTTCAATTTCGTCGTAGTAGACGGTTAGCAATCACGGGCTCAAAGAAAGAGCGTGAGCGAAAATGATGGAAAGTGAGTGTTCAGGAGCCTGAGGCTTGTCGCTCAGTATTTTAGATCAAAGGGCGCTGCGCCCACGAGTGTTGCAGTCGCTTTCGGAGTCATCCACGCAGCCCTTCAGCTCTGGGAAAGGGCGATGGAGATCCAAGGTTTAGGCAACCGGTCAGACGATTAGTGGGGATTCGCGGTAACTTTACGACCTCGCCAAGACGGTCGTTCGAGACACGATTGTGGCGCTGGGAAACCTGTGGAATTTGGCAAACCTCCTGAATCTTTCCAGCCGCCTTGTGTTTTCTCAAGGCGCTTCCAATGTGGGGAGTGCCAAATAGTGATGATGTTCGGACCCGTCGTGAAGTTCAGTGTCGGGGTCGAAAAGAAACGGCCGCACATTCGTAAGCGCTAATTTGCTGTAACGCCCTTTTCTCGCTGCGCGTCCAGATGGGGTTAGCCGAAAGTGGGGCGTGTGGCTGAGCTGCAGAAGATACGGAGAACGCGAACTTGGACTCATCCCCATATTGAGGTTTAGCTGCCCTCTTGACAATGTGCTATTCATCAGGATCGCATACTCATCTCCCTGGACTTGCATAGCTTCTGCTCTAGCGATACGCCATGTACACTAGTTAGTCGACGTGCAGCCAACCTCGAAGCTGAACCACCCTCGCATCGTTTTCGATCCTTTGTCTGGGTCAATGTGAACATAGAAAAAAAGTCGAAGTGTGTGAAAGCCGCGACGGCGCCTATAGTTGCTGGCAGAGTTATAGATGATGGACGCCATCTCTGCTGTTTATGGCAGGCGCTCGCTCTCGCATCATAGAATATAATCTTGGTAGCTTAAAAAGGAACATGAGTGGCTTGGAATCTCGTGTGAAATTGTTCATGTGGTATCATTGAAAATTATCTACGTTCATGAAAGGAAGGATCTCTTGGCCTCGTATCATCATCATTCTCTTCCCATCACGCCTTAAAAGGCAGCCATCTGGTTAAGCCCAGCAGTCTCGCGCTCAAAGTTCTTGTGTTGCGAGATGCTGAACAGGTACGCGCTGGTGAAGTCCTTGGCCTCCTTGGCCATGTTGACAGCCTCCTTGAAGCTATCGGCGTGAACCTGAGCAGCAGTGACAACACCATAGCTGTTGACAACATCAGCAGCAGCCGAGAACTCCATGCCGGGAAGGTCGACAGCCTGCTTGATGAACGACACGCCTTCGCCGGTAGCGCCGATCGCCTTCAAGTGACCGAAAGCTTCGCGGATCCAGTGAACAGCGCGGCCATTCTTGCGCAGGGTCTCGATGGACTTGGCGCCACCAGGCACGAAGACACTGTCGTACATGGTGGAGCGCTGGCCCTCAAGGTGGTGGTCTGCTACAACGCCGGAGCCGCTCTTGTCCTCACCTTCGGCGAAGATCTTGTTTCTCCTGGGAGAGATGGTGAAGGGAAGGGCGCCGGCAGCGGTCAGGGCGGCCTTGATGCCGTTGTAAGCGACCTTGTCGTAACCATCAGCAATGAGAATAGCGACCATGCGGGTGGCAATGGTAGGCTTCTCGGGCATGAAATCCATTTGCGATAGACCCTTGGCCTTCTTGTTGTGCTTGGGGCGAGTTTGTTGAGTGGGCACATCGCTACCAACCATCTCCGCAACAGTCTGAGCAAGCTCAAGATCGATCTCGCAGAGACGCTCACAGAGGCGCTTGTAGACCACAGGGTCGTCGCAGTGGTCGAGCTCAAAGGCAAAAGCGTCCTTCATGTGCATCTTCTCGTTCTCCGACATGGAGTTGTAGAAGAGCTCGGCCTGGTTCTTGTGCTCCCTGAACTTGCTGCTCTGCATGCGAGCCTTGATACCGGCGGTCTTCTCTGGGTAGTCGATGTAAGCACCCTCCTTCTCGGTGGCAGGGGGCACGGTCTGGTAGCGATTAGGCCAGTAGTTGACCTTGCCCTTGGTGATGGTGTGGCGCATGGCACCGTCACGGTTGAAGTTCATGACGGGACAAACTGGCTTGTTGATTGGCAACTCTTCCCAGTTGATACCCAGACGAGAGAGCTGAGTGTCCTGGTAGGAGAAGTTGCGTCCTTGCAAGAGAGGGTCGTTACTGAAGCCGATACCAGGGACAATGTGGCTTGTGCAGAAGGCGACCTGCTCAGTCTGGGTGAAGAACTCGTCGGGGTTCTGGTTCAGCTCGAGCTGACCAATGTATCGGATAGGCACCAGCTCCTCAGGCCAGACCTTGGTAGCATCCAGAATGTCAAAGTCGAAGTCGTGCTCGCGAGACTCTGGGAGAACCTGGATACCAAACTTCCACTTGGGGTAGGCGCCGCTCTCGATAGCCATCCACAAGTCTTTGCGGTGGAAATCAGGGTCTTGACCAGCTATCTTGAGTGCCTCGTCCCACACAAAGCTGTGTACACCGAGCTCGGGTGTGAAATGGAACTTGACAAAGCTCCTCTCGCCCTTGGCGTTGACGAGTGTGTAGGTGTTGACACCGAAACCCTGCATCATGCGGTATGAGCGGGGGATGGTACGGTCGGACATGGCCCACATGAACATGTGCGTCGCCTCTGGGTGCATGTACTGGAAGTCCCAGAAGTTGTTGTGTGCAGTTTGTGCCTGGGGGATTTCGCAGTCAGGCTCTGGCTTGCCGGAGTGAATGACATCGGGGAACTTCATGGAGTCCTGGATGAAGAAGACGGGAATGTTGTTGCCAACGATGTCCCAGTTGCCCTCCTCTGTGTAGAACTTTACGGCGAAACCGCGAACATCGCGCACGGTGTCTGCAGAGCCACGGCTACCCAGTACAGTGGAGAATCGTAGGAAGACGGGGGTCTCGCGCGATGTGTCGGTAAGGACGCCAGCTGAAGTAACGTCTTCGGCCGACTCGAAGAGAGTGAACTTTCCGAAGGCGCCGGAACCACGGGCGTGGACAACACGCTCGGGAATGCGCTCGTGGTCGAAGCGGTGGATCTGACACTGTTACTACGCGGTCTTGGTGGCCAGGTCTGGTCTGCATACCTTCTCACGAGCGAAGTGGTCCTCCAAAAGGGAGGGGCCGGTCTGGTCATCGGTCGCTACCTTCAGCCAGTCGTCGGTGTTGTTCTGCTTGACACCGAAGTCGCTGGTGATGCGCCACTTGTCGTCGTGTACATCCTTGGTGACGGCTGCGAGCTGGGCCATTTTGCCAGTCTTCTCGCCAGTGAGGCCCTTGGCCTTCTCTGCGACGTTGCCTATGATTTCGGACGCCATTTTGTCGAGTGTGCAAAGATTGAGTCGATTGGCGATGTCAATCGGTGTGGTGGCCGTTTGCTGCGCGCGCCGCGCCCGTCTTTGTACTGCCGGGACTGTTTACTTTTCGACGTCATAGCGACGTGTGTTCGCTGCACTTCGGCTTGGAGTTGCCTAATGCCTCTACCGCACAGCTCCATCAGGACAGCGACTGCGTGTTTGCGACGCGCTTGAAAGTGGAGTCTGTGGACTTCAGCCAATGGCAAAGAAGATGATGTTCGATCATCGTGATTGAACGTTTGCATCGACTGCCGAGCGATGCCGATGTGCCACGCGAGACTCAACTTTGCCATGTACCCGGCAGCTAGTCCCTGCCATTCGAGAATCGCATGCTGAGAAATGGCCTTTGCTGAAGCCCATCCTTGAACCCGCCACTACATTTTCTTTCTAGCGAACCAAGACCGAGTCGTCCGCGAGTGTGAAAAATGCCGTTGCTCGCAAATATCCTGCTGTGACGTCAATGATGGAAAACCGTTAAGAGGCCCACGTGTGGATGCCCCGCACCGCCCCCACCAGCTGCATGTGCCAGGACAGATCATCACGATATTCTGGGCTGCGACAGCTTCAGGCGCGAAGGGAGGGTGTCGCAAGAAGAAGGTCCAGATTATTGAGGGCGACGAAGACGAGTTCTCAGGCTTCGTCGGGCTACGCATGGTCCGGCACATAAGCTTTCGCACTCGCTCCTGGCTCCTAAACCCTATCGCATCTTCCCCGACAAACTTTCCTAGAGCTAGCAACTCACCATTAACGCCGGACACTACGACGACCGTTGGCTTGCGTGCGAAACGCACATCCGCCGCGTGACCTGATCTTGGCGAACCGCGAAAGCCGGATGACTACGCGTCTATAGCCACACATAACGTCCGGAACTTTTCCTGGATCAATGCTCGCTTTGCAGCTTCATGCAACTCGAGTAGGCCGCTCTACGCTAATGCCGGGGTTGCTTTTTCGCACAGTAGGCCACTGGATTGCGAAGCGTTGATAGCGCGCTTCACAAAATCATCTGCTAGCCTATTTTGCACAGCGTGTATATGCGACTGGCTTATCTCCAAAGTCACGATGTGTCGACGCTGATCTATGTTATTTGCCGATGGTGTTTCGCAAATTAGTAGCAGCAAATGGTCTTGCCGCATCCTGCATCCGCCATGAGCCGTGATGTTCCGGACAATCCTTCCGCCAATGAGCCACGAGTACGTTTTGCAGTGGTTAGCATTGCCTGCTCGGTCGCTTTGCCTGATGATCGACAGGCATTGTGCGTGTCTATTGTACCTTGCATCTATACCGAAGGCCTCCGCGGCTTCCGGAAGTTACAGTTGTCAAACGGCGGAAAAACTCTCTCGTCGGCATTTTGGCAATGGAACCGGTACGTCAGTAGCCTAAGCCTCGCTTTCGCTTAGAGGAGTGATATGAATGCGAGCATCCAAATTATATCTTATCACATCAGTGAACTAACCGTTGGCTTGTGCTAAGGCAGGCACTTCCGATATAACCCTTATGTCGTTCATGTTGTCGTTGCCTGAAAGGGTGCGCAAAACGCCCGTTTGGCCGCTTTTCTAAGTATTGATGATCTGCTGCTAACCCCACAAGCTTTATCGGTTTCAGTGTCCAATGCTTTCGAGTACGGATATAGATGAGCAACATTT